ATCAAAGACTATTTTTAATATAACTCCGACTGGATTCGTCTGAAAGAAGAAAGTCATTTACACCTAGGATGCCTCGGGGGTGAGTAAAATGCAGCCTAATTTTCATTTTTGGGTGAACTAACCCTTTAAGTCAGTTGTGTTACTTACAACAGTGCTTACAACAGAAATGGGAATAATATACAATACCATTCAAAAGTTTGAGTTGGATTCTTTTTTTTAAGAAGTCAATACTTTTATTCATCAAGGACACATTAAACTGATTAAAAGTGACAGTATAGGCTTCCCTTTCAAAAGAATGCTGTTCTTTTGAACTTTTTGTTCATCAAAGAGACCTGAAAAAATGTATCACAGTTTCCACAAAAATATTAAGCAGCATAAATGTTTTCAACATTGATAATAATAAGAAATATGAGACCAAATCGGCATATTCGAATGATTTCTGATGTGACTCTGAAGACTAGAGCAATGACATTTATTTTTAAATTGTAATAATATCACTGTTTGTACTGTATTTTTGATCAAATACATGCAACCTTTGTGAGCATATAAGATGCAAAACATTAAATCTTGGAACAGTAGTGTATAGAATATAAATGTGCAGAGTGAAATGTATAAATATAATCGAAAGTATCAAATGTATTTATAAATCTAACAGATTTTATATTTCTCAAATCATATATTAAACTGTACTTTAAATGCAAATATTGAACTCAACAATCTGCAATAATAGCAGACATGCCCTTAAGAGGCATGGAGAACATTGTTGTAAAACAAAAAGCCTTTTACATGAATGCAAATAATATTCCATAATATACACGAGGGTGTAAATGGTTAAGAACTTCTTTTATGACTGGATGGGATGAGATTTTTTTAGTTCATCTAAGGTGAGAAATACTGTAGGGGTTTACATAAAAAAATGTAAAACATGTCCTTTTTGCATGACTGTGCACAACTCTGCAGTAAAACAAGATGTAAGACTTCATTTCGTTTCCATTCTTTTTTGTGCTTGACTTATTAAATTCCCCCAAAATAAATATGAAGGCTAACTTCACCCAAGCTGCTTTTGCTGACCTGACCCTGAACACTGAGCAGTAAACGTCCTTTCCACTCTAATTTGACATTCATTTGCTGACATAACTTCTCA